CTCTCCCAGGAGTGTCGGACTATCTGTCCACAGAGGTGAGCACCTCCCGAGAGCGCAGGTTCAGTCTGGTCACCTTCATTGACACCCCAGGTCTGGTGGACGGAGATATGAAGTACGAGTTTGATGTGGACAAAGCGCTCATCTGGCTGGGTACGTGTCACACTGCACACTGGCAGAGATAGATACACACCGCACTCAGGCCAGAGACAAACACACACTGCACACAGACACTGCAATAGTGTACAAGAAGTGTGAAGTGTACAAGAATGCCTGCACTGTGCTGTACTGTAATAACACTGTACTGTATTGAATTGTAAAAACACTGCAATGTACTGTTATTGTACTGGACTGTCATAACTGCACTGTACTGTACAAATACTGCAATGTGCTGTAGTGTACTAGAATAACTGCAATGTACTGTAGTGTAATAACACCGCAATGCGTTGTACCGGTTTGTATTAACACTGCACTATGCTTTTTCTGAACTGTAATAACACTGCATGTGCTGTACTGTACTGGACTGGAATAACTGCACTGTACTGTACAAATAGTGCCATGAGCTGTAGTGTACTGGAATAACTGTACTGTGTTGTACTGTAATAACACTACACTTTGCTGTAGTGTACTAGAATAACTGAACTGTGCTGTACTATAAAAACACTGCAATGTACTTTAATATCACTGCAACACGCTATAGTGTACTAGAATAAATGCACTGTGCTGGACTGTAATAACACTGCAATGTAGTGTAATATCACTGCAACAGGCTATAGTGTAATAGAATAAATGCACTATGCTGGACTGTAAAAATACTGCTCTAATGTTCTCTACTGTACTAGAATAAGAGCTCTGTCCTATACTCTAATAACACTGCAATGTGCTGCACTGTACTACCACAGCAATGTCCTGTACTGTGATTACACTGCATTTTGTAGTATTGATTTGTAATAACACTGCACTTTGCTGTAGTGTACTAGATTAAATGCACTATGCTGTACTGTAATCACACAGCAATGTAATGTACCGTGATTACACTGCAATGTGCCGTACTGTACTAGAATCACTGTACTATGCTGTAGTGTGATCACACAGCGATGTATTGTACTATCATAACACTGCGCTGTGTTGTACTGATTTGTAATAACAACGCAATGTGCTGTAGTGTACTAGAATAAATGCACTGTGTTGGACTGTAATATCACTGCAACGTACTGTAATATCACAATGATATTACATATGGATTGTGATATTACAATGTACTCTAATATAACCACAACATGCTATAGTGTACTAGAATAAATGCACTGTGCTCTACTGTACTAGAATAACTGCTCTGTGATGTGTTATAATAACACTGTAATGTACTTTACTGAACTGCTGTAAGGCACAACCTCCTTTTAATAATGTAGAAAGCCCTGAATGCCTACTCTTTCAGTGCCTTTACTGCCAGGACAAATTTGCCCTATCTCAGTTCACCCTGAGTGAAGAATTCTGTCCTTTTGTTCCAATTTTTCAATGTGCACTTGTTCTCCAAGTACATTGACTTAATTATGTCATAGACTTTAGCTCCTACACACTTTGAAAAGTTTGAAAAGTAAAGCATTCCTTTGTGCAAAATTAAATTATAAAGCAGGCCTATATATATACATACCGTATATCTCAGCATGTCATTGTTGACTGTCTTGGCCACAGGCCCTTCATGGTCTGAAGGCCTGGAGTTTGTCTAGTATGTCGTGCTCTGTGATCGGGATGTCTAAGAGGTTTTAGCTGTCTTTTATAGTTAATTCAAATATTATCAGTTTTTTGGTGTGTCTGTACTGTATTAACCCCTCTCTCTCAGTGCGGTGTTAATGTCCTGTAGTGTCCAGTCAGTGTGTCTGT